AACTGAAGCAGTGTCTAGGAAGTAATCAAGAAGGCCATGAAGAAGTTACTAAACTTGGAAAAGGTGAAATGTCAGTGACAGGAAAACCTCAGATTCACATCTTCTGAAGAGTCAGATAACAGTGGCGGGGTCATCAGTTGCAAGAACAGGTTTATCAATATCAAGATGTTTGCCAATTAATCCTCTCTGAGCTTTACCTAAGACCGGAAAGTCTAAAGAAAGTTGACAGAGACTAACAGGAAGAAAATGAAAGCCTCTGAAACAGGCTAAGAATACCACTGAAAAGCTGATAATCTCAGCGAAACAGAGAAACTGAACAGATCAGCCTACCTCTTTTTACGCAAAGTGGAGCTGCCTGAACTGACGTAAACCATGAACAATGTCACCCATATTGGCTTTTTAACCGTTTTTCCCTTAAGCAGTAGTCACTTGATACTGGGCTGTTTGTGAAAGCAGATATCAAGATCCCCAGTGCCTCAGTGCCACACTTATAACATGGATAACATTGACACTAGCAATCAAGAAGACCTCAGGGGTGATACAGATCATCCCCCTTCTCTGTACAGATCACCTTTGCATCATACCACTTTTGACACCTCTCTGCTGGGGGAGCGCAAACAGTAGGACACCCAGAGCTGCAGTTGCAGATGAAAAGGCAGCATGAGACACTGACGTGCTTTGGAATACTTGCGTGAAAGGCACTGTAGGAGTACAAACAATTACTTTCACTGTATATTTTGGCTTTTAATTCTACTAGTAAAGTGCTTAGATTAAGTGTGTTCTCTATTTGCTGGCTTTCTTTTCTAAATGAATCAGCTGGTATAGGGCCTCCAGGTCCAGGTGCATTTTCCTTCTTCTGTGGATAGTGGGTCAGTGGTTAGTTTTATGCTTGGCAGCTGTTCAGCTGCTACGTCTTCCTCACTCAGCAGAGTACCTGTGCTAATTAAGTATCACATGGTGAGCTGGTTATAAACCACTTATTGTCTCTTCCATGAATGTACACTGTATGCGTTCCCATGGCGTTATATTCAGGGGCTTTGGCATTTCCATGCCTGTATGTTACTGACAGATTTTAAGTGAGACTTTTTCCTCCCATTTTCTTCCATTAGTCACTTTACAACGCTTTGAAAAGACAGGCTTTCAGTGCACTCACACAGGCACCAGGGGTGACAGGCACTAGAAAATGACTTTGACAGCTTTCGAACAGGAGTCACTCAGCAGTAACCAAATGCCCACGGTATGTCCCTTATCACAAGATGTCAACGAGCTTCATTTGGTAATTCTCTTTCACAATCCCATTTCCTCAGCTGAGGGGAAGGTGCTGATCTCCCTCTGGTGACCAGAGATAGGACACGAGGAAATGGAATGAAGCTGCATCAGGGAAAGTTCAGAACGGACAGTAGGAAAGGGTTCTTCACTGGGAGGGTGGTTTGTCACTGGAGCAGGGTCCCCAGGGAAGTGGTCATGGCAGCAAGCCTGTCAGAGTTAAAGTAGCATCTGGGCGATGCTCTTAGTCGTACGGTTTAGTTTTAGGTAGTCATGCAAGGAGCAGGGAGTTGGATGCAATGATCCTTATGGGTCCCTTCCAACTTGAGATGATTCTATCTAGTCTTAGATTTAAAAGAACTTTTATATTGGCAATTTGTGGCCATAATCTCTTCCTAACTTTACTCTAACAGATAAGCAAAAATTTGACCATATAAAATGAAAATCTGGTATAAAAATAAGACTGTTTTGCATACCTGTGTTTGGGCATTAGGTACCAACTTGTACATATTCTGGAGTTGTCCGTTTACTTTTTTATCTGATTTGACAGAAAGAGAAATAAATACACAGAATTACTTTCTGTTTTGTCCAAAGCAAAGCAAACCAGATTCATTCACCTTTTTCAATAGCTAAGAAAGTTAAAAGACTTCATTACAAGGCATAAAAACATACCATGTAACAGTTTTGTTTGGTCCTGTTTCTCCAGATTAATTAATTCCTCTGCAAAGCCTTCCCTTCACATTTTGCCAAAGAGGAAATGAAATGTATTCTTGTTGTTCTACAACAGGGGGTAAGTGAGCTGAAGTGGTCTTTGGGTCTTACTAAGGAGAAGTCAGAGGTCTCTAAGAGGATTCTTTAATGAAATTAATATAACCACAACAATAATACGCAAGGAAGAAACTTGAAAGAGGAATTTCTGCATCCCATCTGTCAGGCTGGTACTAGGACTGGCTAAAAGCAGCATGTTTTAAGGTCTCCAATAGTTAGTCTTGCTTTTAAGTGCACTATTCTAAAAGACATACACATTTAGCACTGGCAATACAGGGCAGGCATATCACACTTTGGGTCTAACATGGTTTCCTTTGTCTCAACACATGAAAACAGTAACCCATGGATTTAATCTCTGAAATTTTTCTCTTAGCTTCTTAGTATTAGAAGCTTCTTGTGACGCAGCTGTTATGGACAGAGGAGAAACAGTCCCTCTCAGCACCTCTTGTATTCTAGCATGATGCTTCGAACTTTGCCTACATTTTCCACCTTCACACTTTTCTGCTGCCTTTGCATCGACAGGCATGTAAACAAGAATCAAGATAAGTGTTATCACAGTTCTTCACAATTCCATCCAAAACAGGTAAGTAATAGAAACAAAATCATCTATAAAGAAATATCAATTGAAAGACATTTAAGTTGACACGTTATCATGAAAAATATCTTTCAAAGTACTTAATACTTCTCAGGAGCAGGACCTACTATTGGCCCAAAGACAAGGGAAAACTGACAGAAGTTTCACACTGACTTCATGCTAAAATCATGCTAAGACAGTCAGAAGAAATCTACTTTCATCTCTTTTGATACATTTTGGTTAAATAAATGTTGAATATTTGCCATGCCTTTTATGTCTTCCTCAAATGAATTAAAACCAGATTCTCCTCCCAACCACTCCCAACGTGCTCAGTATATAACAAAAATATGTCCTGTGGATTCAACAAATACAAGAATTTGCGACACGAATTTCAGTTTATAGTCACTCATATACTCTTCATGGAGGAAAGAAAATTTACAGTGAATGAGGCTTGGTTTAGGTTGAGACATTTCTTGATACGTGAAAAGACATTGAGTTGTTACAAGATAAGAAGTTAAAACAGAAAAGAAGTGGTCATTTGTGCTGCCTGGTAAACTCCTATGCAGACAGATGGTTACAAATGTATAATAAATGTTCATTCTGTTTACTGCCCACGTTTCCTCTATGGACCTGCTATGCAATGACAATATGACATGCTTGAATCTGAAAGGTGTTGTCAACTTTGTGATTTGATACACTATCAGTAGACCAGAATGTAGACATACAGGGTAATAGCAAGCTCCCTGGATTTAGTTGCTGCAGGAGCACCCCCTGAATACACAAGTCTACATTCTAGGAAAAAGTCTCATTCAAATAGAATATGAACTCTTACAAGAAAGTATCTCTCAACCCAACTCAATATGTCTCCATAACTTACAAGAATGATTCTTCTGTCATATTAAAAATGTATGGTGTCTGTAAGAAACCACATTTAGAAACACATTATATACAAAGAGTGAATGTGGTGATGCCAGTGGACATTTCAGTCAGTCTTGAACACAGTATTAAACTATGCACTTTTTATTCCCTCCTATTTTAAGTGCTCAAATATATTCCAGCACTCATTCTACAGATGACTTTAAAATGTTTAAAATGTAGGAAAACCAGCCATCTAGTAAGTCTTCTTTAGAGCTGTGAAGCAGAGTTTCTTTTTGTTAGGCAGGTAAAGGGAGGGAAAAGACTACTACCATTCCCCACTTTAATCTAATAGTCTAATGATAGCATTATTCAGATTGCTAAAATGACTCTACAGGCACTGGGCAGGTACGTTGAAGTTGGAAATTTCTAATTTATGAGGAAGGCCAGCAAAGTTCTTCATTAGGCAGTATGAGGGGTTTCGCAGCATTACAAGCCGCCCTATGGCTCCCCACCCTTATCCTCAGCTGTGTAACTCACCCACAACTTGAAACTCAGGTCCACATCAAATTTCAGCTGGAAATCTCATATGAATAAGGCTCTCACGAGAATTCACATTCTTCACATTTTGAGTCAAACTAGAAATACTGAGCATAGGAGTTTGCAGCATCTTCTGACCAACACCATGCTCAGAAATACCTTTATGTAAATGCTTGAGGAAAATAAATGAAATTGGGCAATGTCTGTTAAGCTCTCTCCTCCTCTCTTTAAAAGGAGGAAGACTCTGCTGCTGCCTATTTCTTCCACTGACAGCAGTGATTCTTTGAGCAGTATATATTTTTTCAAGGGTTAATTTGACATCACTTTGCCTGCATTGTCTTGGGACTTTGGAGAAAAGCTTAAAATATGACTGGGAGAACAGCCGGGGATGCCGTATACTGCCTCCATGAAAACCCAAATGAAAGCATACATGAGAGCATATGCTTCAAACACAATTTATACAATTCCTTGACTGACAACCAGCTTCAAATTCAACTTTCCAGAAGAGTCATAAAGGGTCCATTGTGACGCATGCTGCATCGGACAGGCCCTGTCTAGTTTTTAACCAACTTGAATGTAAAAGCAGATATCAAAGAATATCCAAACAAGGATAATACTTTCCATCAACTCAAATTGGTAATGACCTTATTATTCAAGGCCCAAGGAAAAAGCTTGGAATTCAGTCAGAAGCATAAACACAGGTACTCAACACTTTATGTGGATCTAAACTAATCGCTGTTAGAGTTCTACCAGTCTCCAGCAGATTCTCTACTATTTTCAATGACAAGAGAACAATTTTCAGAAGAGTAGGTGATAGTTTTTCAAACACAAACTATTTCTAGTGTCACCAATTCCTAAAATAATTTATTAGGAACATAAGGAATAGCATTTAAACTATGAAAACTTGACCAGTAGCTTACATTAAGCAATATCACAATAGAGGAAAAAACACTGTCAAACTGAGTAGCTATTTGATTAACTATTGTCAAATACTTACTAGACAGAACTGTCTTATGATTGAAAGTCTTGCTCCAAATACTATCCTCTACGTTGTCTTTAACTCCAAATTCATAAAGTGTGTTTGGCTTCAGATTGTCCACCACCGTCTCTGTAACTGGGCAAAGCTGAAAAACCCATTTCTTGTCTTTATCCTTTTCTCTGTAGCGAACTGTATAGAACCTACTCGACAAAAAAAAAAAAAAAAAAAAATTTCTTTACACAGAAACTCACTGCAAGCATTTTTGCTAATTACTAAAATGGTCTCTACCCGCCATTGTTCTTGTTCTTTCTGGCCCCTTATGGTTATCAAATATCAGAAAAGCCAGTATATCTTCTCTGCAAATGTAGTGCTAGTCCAGTCATCTCCTAGATACATATGTTCCCCATCATACAGACCTAGACATTAGGAGTATTATATAAAAAGCAAACGAACAGTCTCCTTATTCACAAACAACCACGTGTGTGGGGTTCCGACCACAAACTGCAAGCTCATTTTGCAAGCAGTTTCTGGGATTCTGACATATGCCAGAACTAGTCAATTCAATCACGAGTCTATTAGTCAGGAAGCCTCGACAAATTTCTCAAAATCTTCTGTATCTGTCCGCGGAAAGGTGTTCCCCTCAAAATCAGTCCAAAACTATTCCCAAGGGAAAACCAGTAATAGTTGACATTTATATGATACATTCCCCATTCAGTGATCCCATTATGCACCACCCACATTTCAAACAAGAAAGTAAACGAAGACATTACTTTCAGCAGTTTAAATCAATAGCGTGATGAATGCTAACAGATTATGAAATTAAAAAACATTTCTACAAAAATTGCCCAATTCAGTCAAGCAGCACCACCCTGGAAAAGTATGACTGCAATGCTAGCCAGTATAAAACAACGCAGTGTAAATGGTGAGAGTTACAGCACAAGAACTCCACTGCCTGCTACAGTCTCGTTTTCATCATACGTACTGTATCACTGCCAGAATGGGGTGAGAGTTTCTGGTTTTGTAAAAACAAATCTCAGAGAGATTTGGAAACTTTTAAATCCAAGTATTACTGAAAATTGTTGCACATAACATAAATAAAGCATATCCATTGTCCATATGCGTCTTACATTTACATCAGCTGAAAAAGGATAATTCCATCCAATTGTATTTTTCCACACTTCAACAAAGCAAATTAAGGCCATAAAAGAAGCCTAACCCTAAACCCCCAGGTATATGCCCAAGAATCATTCAGAAGCAAAAAGAAAAAGAAATTTGGGCTGTGATATTTAATCCAGATATTATATGGGAAAATATATGGAGAGAAAGGAAGGGACCTTAAGAAAACAACCCCAAAAAGTTCTTTAATCAACTGAAAAGGTACCAAGTTGTAAGGTCTAGATTAAAATGATTTAATGGGCCAAATATAACACTGTCAATGCACAAAGCTGCTTTTGCCAAAGTTACAGAAGAGCACTTAAAGAATGGAGTATATGTGAAAGGTGACTGTTGAGTACAGGCAAATTCATTCTTCATTATTAAAACACAACCTAAGACATGGCAAGTTCCGATCATGGAAAATATTTTCAGACACAAAGATTCATTTTGTTTACAAATTTTATCTCATAATTGTCAACTTTGTTTTTTTGGCACCAAAAACATAGGTTCTCCTGTTTTAGTTGCTACAATTCATCTCATTCAGGTATTCTGCCAGGTTACAAAGTTTATATCTACATTGGCTCACATAACTCTCTTCATTAGCTGTACTACTTTGTGTTCAAAACAAGCCATAGTCTAACCCAAACCTTGGAAAGGAAGGAAATATCATAACGTAGCGAATATCCTCTCTCTTCTTATCGATTCCTGGAGTACCAAGTAATAATCTGCATCCTTACTTCTGGTGGCTGTGATTTCATATGTCAAGCAATATAAGATCTAAGTATCAGTTGGACTGACAAAGAAAGTTTTTAACAAGAAATTATTGGCAACGTTAAAATGAGGGAAATTTCTTCTCCTTAATCTTCTTAATCCTTTCAAATGTAGTCGTACGGAGAGTAACAGACAGAAAAGCTTACTTGAAATCTGTCATTACCTTGCGAAGGGCGTAACAGTAACAAATAAATCCCATCTGCAACATAAATGCATCTTGCTGGACCCCATACAGTCTCTTGGTAAGGGATTTAGACTAGGTATAGATAGATCTACGATCAAAATGGGAATCACAACTAGAATTAGTCACCTGCTTCCCAGCTTGCCTGAAAGAAGAAATTTCATTTGTTTTCATGTTCATTCTTACCTTTTCCTACCTGTTTTAGTTGAATGGGGTAAAAATAAGGTGGTTGTATGTGATGGAAAGAAAACAGTATACTGATTAATTTCAATTATTTAACAGTCTAAATTAATAGCTGCAACAGAAATGAGGAGGGAAAAAAATATCAAAACTTTTTTCATAATGAATAGGCTTTTAAGTGGCCACTCCCACTTGCTTTTACTGTAGAAAATGTTCTGGTTTTGAATACTGTCTCCACACCTGCAAATTCATTCTCCCTAACATGAATTAAAATACTGAGAACACCTGCATGTCAAAAACCATCTTTCAATAAAATTCATGACTATTGAAAAATCTGACAAGATTTTCATAGCTGTGCCAAACTGTGCCATTAGAAATAGAAACATATAGCACAGAAGAAATGACATCTTTCAATAAAATTCAAGACTATTGAAAAATCTGACAAGAAGATTTTCATAGCTGTGCCAAACTGCGCCATTAGGAATAGAAACATATAGCACAGAAGAAATGTGCTCTCAACCCCAAGATTTCCAAGCCTGTAAAAACTACACCAAGGGTGTAATTATTTTAGTGGAAACTTGCCACAACGAGTACTAAAAACCCTGACTGCGATGACAGAATTTCCTCAACCATTTCAATAAAAAGCAACCAAAATGAAGTTCCATTTAACAATTTGAAAGTCACAATTGTTTGAGTATTAAAAATACCCAAATCATAAACAACATGCACTTCTGGGGAAATGCAATCATTTGTTTATAGAGTATGAAATCAGAAATGCCAAGTTTTGTCATTAAAGAACAATAATTCATTGTTAAACCAGACCAACAAGCTGCCAAATACAGTGCAATTTCAGTGCCAGCCTGAAAACATTCTACTGATTAAATTTTGTTGTCATTTTAATTTCTCCCCTTTCAGTCCTTCCTATCAGAAAAAAATACAATATCAAACAATCAACACATATAATTGAAGACATGAGAAAGCAGTAAAATCCAGTCTCCGCTCACATATATTGGTCCCCTTGCGGCAGTGACATACACGGACAACATTTGTGCAGCTGACCTGCTATGTTTATTGGAAGCTGCAAAAATGCTCCTCCTGGATTGCAAACATTCAGAGAAACCTCTCCATAGATTGCCCAAAAAAATGATAGAAGGCAGGCTGAAACGGAGTACAGCCACACTCACATATAGGGGGAAGGTACGCTACACTGTTTCTCAGACAAAACACTTCCCCCATTATCTCTGTGAGGTAAGACCATGAAAAACTGATTGCATACCACAGGCCCCTAATAGCTACGATGAGAGTAATACACTATTCAGGTAAAGTGTAATTGGAACAGTCCCAGCAATGCAATTTACAGCTGTGAATGCTAGTCTGATGTTTCAGCAAGGAGGTGGCACACCTCTCACTGGGTGAGAATTTATTTTAGGTTCTCAGCATGTACAAAGACCTGGCAATATTTACCTGCTTTTAATTTTGATTCTTTATTTGTTTTGGTGAGGGATATGAGAATGGTACATTTCATCAGAACAATGTTCATTGAATAGCACTTGTATTCCTATTTACAACAAATACTAATCAAGATTTCAGGGTTCACTTCGTTTCTTTTCCAGCTAGCGCTCTATAAAATATTAGAGCTCTTTTGTTAAGCTCCACAAAAATTAATCTCTCTCCCTCTCTCCCTAACAGGCCATGTTTCACTCATCAGAAGACACATCCAATCAAACCACCGTGGGAACTGTTGGGAAATTTTATCTCCTCCCTTTTTACTAGACAACTAAAAGGATAATAAACTCCAATAATTTAAACAGGAGGTGTCATAAGCAGGTGAGTTAATTGCTGTAATCACACCAACTAAAAAAAATAACCACCGGAAAGAAATAAAGAGCCTACATTCACCAAGACAGCCTCTCTCTGTATGCATTTGCGCAACATGATGATATGTTTAATGTCTGCATTCTCAAAACTCTCTCTACATTAACGAGCTTTAAGTATTCTTTTACACTATTCTGACTTCACTTGCCTCCACCTATGATGCACACAAAATGTGAAATAATGGCAGAAATAAAAGCAGCAAAACCAATCTCGTCATTTAAAGGAAGCCACAAAAGTATGATATTACTCCATAGGCCAACCACCGTAGCGATTACTATATCTGCAAAGTCTATGTAAAAGACTATCAGCCCGATACAAAAGGATGTTCCTACCCTTTCTATGTTCAGTTTACACAGTGGTTTTTTTTTAAACTCTACAATGCAAGGCAGTGAAACCTTTTTTTGTCAGCTTAGAGCTAGCCTTTTATTACTCAAGAAATCAAAATATGATGACCATTTTAAAGAAGCAGCACACAGGGGTTTTGCTTTTGAAATTAAGGAAATCTGGCTTGCTGCTAAGAGGAAAAAAAAATTCTAGGATGGATAGGCAAAATATTAGGTTTTCATATACCAGTATGAATGACACTGTCTTGCCAAGAATTCCAGTGCTATTTGTCCAATTGTTAACCAAATCTCTTTTCAGCCAGATTCCCAGAAAATGCTTGCACAGTCAAATATTTGGGCACAAACAATTAGATACTGGAAATCTTATAAGGCAGATGGTTTTATGAGATTTCCAGACTAGGTCAGTTTGTATAAATATCATGGGTTTATTTGGAACCAGATCCAAACCAAAACTCCAAACAATTTAATCATGACTATTTTAGTCACACATAACACTAAACAAACAATTAAGCCTTGGAGATATAAGAACATTCCTGCTCTGTGATTTTGTGTTGCCATAGATAACAGATTATAAAACTTATTGCACTTTTGTGCATAGCTATGTAATCAGACTTATCATACACATATATTTATTTATTTGTTTATAGCTAGACTTCATTAGAAGCGCAGCATGCATTTAGTGTAAGAAAGTACTAAAAGAAATTATTTGAACCACAATTTTTCAGATTCTGAGTGTTTCACAAATTGGCACATGAAACTGATTATATTGTTTCCTTTTTGCTGCCAAGTTTACTTTAACGTAACAGATGCTGACATAGATAAAAAGATGTAAAGGGTTGCATCACTGATGGCTACCAGTTAAGTTCGCGAAGCACTTTCTGATTTAGTTTTCACCTTTACATAATCACTAACATTCACTTTTTTCACTTGAATTTTTTAGTAGGACTGAAATGAATTGAAGAGTTAGAGGTTGTGAAGAATGAGAGGCTGACCGCCAACAAATCTTTCCATGTTTAAACAAACTTTCAGCATATACTCCCACAGCAGTAACTCAAAAGCATCTGAAATGCAAAAAGTTTGTTTGCTGCAGTATGTTTTCCTTTCTGCTAGGTTTAAAATACATTTTCTATGATATTTGCAACACAAAGTATGATTAAGTTGGCAACTGCATAGTGACACAGATTTGTAGATAGGTACAAAAGGAGATGCATGTGCATATCTTTCTGAATTTAGAGTTTTAAAAACCCTACTTCTATGTGCTGTATAACATAAAGAGTAAGTATGGATTCTTCTCTGTTTTTCCCTCTCTATTTTTCTTACCTTTTTTTTTAAAGCATCAGATACAAATGAAGTAAAACATAAAATCCATACTACTTGCAAGTATGACATTAGGAAATTTAAATCACAGGCAAACATATTTAAAAAAATATAAATGTGAATTTGTCAAAGTTCTTAAATATATTTAGTGAAAAAACGTATCTTCAGGTTTTAAATTTTTACTTCATATGCATCTGAAAGCGTGTTTGTTTTTTTACACAATCCACTCAACAGTAAAATATAGTATTCTATCTACAAACCCTGTTTTTGTCTTGAATGGGAAAAACATATTCTGTTCCTTCCCCTCACTCCCCCTCCTAAAAAAATGAAAGTGAAACTCTGCCTTTTTTGACCCCCTGCTCCATTTTGGGATCTGTGGAGTTGTTCTAACCGCGGGAAAGGACAAAAAAAGTCTATACAATAGTCTATACTCTCTTTTTCCGACCTAAATAAACAGTAAACATAGCCCCAGTATGTTTATTATAACAACTCTGTTCACTGATGGTTGTTTGGACTTTGAAAGGCAGACAGTCTCTCTACTCTCTTGCAAATATATAAAGAGGAACTGAATGTGACAGTGCAGCGGGTCGTCCTGACTTTGCCAGTCCTCCTTCATCAACTACCTGATACTGGTGTCAGAAAACAGAAGGTGCTGAGAAAGCTAACTCCACATTGTTGGTGGAAACTTTTCGGTATTACGTAGTTTTTATCAGTTACATAAAACTAATCACTTGATTTTTTTGCTTTGGGTCTTTTTGTTTTGCTTTGTTTTGCGTTCTAGTGCTAAGGGTCTGACTAGAAATGATAGCCACTTCAAGGTGGCTTTAAAATTTGACCTTGCAAAGAACTTTGGTCCACACAAATGGCAGTGATTATCTTTGCTTCCACAGCTAATTAGGGTTTGGGGTTATCTTGCAGGAAGTATGTAGCACTCTATTGGCATATGCCCTTAATCTCCAGAGAACTAAGCAACCAAAGAATGGTTTGTCGAAAAATGGCACGGGAACTTTTTCTTCATTAGAGTTTCTTAAAAAGCACTTTGTAGGTCCAGAGGAACACTATGTGCCCTCAATAAGCAAGCAATAATTTCACTGAAGCAATAAAAGATACCAGTGCTCTTTGAGAACATGGCATCTCTTATCCAAAACCCATTTGCTCACAAAACCATATATTCTAAGGAATATTCCACTATGGTCAGACTCGCACTAGAGAAAATCTTGGCCAACGGATCCATGCTGTTCCATATGGTTTTCATCTTCTGAGTCAGTAACATATTTAACTAACTTATATTATGCAACATTTGTATAAAAGCCTAACGTCCATCCGGAGATGGTAAAATCTGAGGCTGAGAACAGTGACGCCATTTCAGGTCATACAGAGTTACAAATCTAAAACTTGGTGGGACATTAACCGACAGACTGAGTTAAGAGGTCATAATTGCCACATACTGCCAATGTCAAAGATTAGAGGTTAGTCACTATACAACAATCTTGAGGATGATTAACAGTACATTTCAACACATCACAGTAAGGAGAACATGCCAGATGAAAAATGATCAAGTGAGTGAAGACGACTGTCCCTGCAATAAATACAAATGTTGATGAATGCATTATATGATTTTAAGTCTTCTACGTTTAACAGGATGCTAACTTGCTAAGGATGTGCTACTTCCTAATTTTTTATTATCATGCATTATCTATTATCATTCACATTACTATCACAAATTAATAATTTTTCTTCTGTATACTGACTAAGAATATATTTGAATCCAGTCTCTGCTTGGAATTGTAGAAATACACACTATGGTCATGTGGAGAACTGTTCTCATCATTTATACAAACCAGAAGCATTTTGGTCCAGTAAAGGTAAACAAAATAAGAGCACCACTTAAGTGATCTGTTTTTTCCTTAACTTTATTGTTATGCTTGATTGCAAAATAGAAATCCGCTTTAGGTATATAACTCATACTTTGATATGACCATTTGTAATTTGATTGAAGTGTTTCTAAACTAGCTACTCATGAGTGTCTGTGTATCTTTACAGTTGAAATACAAGGAAATATTCAAATAAACTGAACAATACAACTCTTATAGGCAAGTCTTCTTATGGGGGCAAAAGGGAAATACATAGGCAGTACTTCAGTACAGCCTGTCAACATTTCACTAAAATCGAGGGCACCTTAAAAATAAACACCTGAGAGAAATCAGCTAACTGGACTAAACAACACTTAATTAAAGAACCAGAATTTTGGGAAGTGCATACCATTACTTGACACAAAGATCTGTTAAAAACAAACATGCAGAATATATTCTAAACATAGCAAGACACCAGTAGCACTGCACTGTGGAAAACATCATATACTATGTTAAAAAAATTGTTCAAACTTGGAATCAATGAATGTCCAACAAGAATATTCAGTTACTGAGGAGAAAACCCAGAGTTTAAGGCATTGTGGTGGGTACCACATGCTTTGAACCTCCAGGTGGATTAATACAGGATATAGGCTTCTTCTAAAGTGTTCTTCATTCCAGCTGCACAATGGGTGCTGTAATTTTGGTGCCATCATAGCACATAGAGAAGATAACTTCCATTGTAAAATTGGTGCTAAAATCATTATGTGGGCAGAACACTTTACAGGCTCCTTCACGATCAGCTCGTTTCATTGATTTCTAACTGCAGGAAATTATTTGTTTCTTTCTTGATTGAGAGCACAAAATTTAAGACCAAACTAACTTTTATTTCTACTGAAAAAAAAAATATCCAATTAAGTCACATGCTTGGACATTTCCTAATATTGCATAACAATTTCCTAATAAACATTAATGTTTTTTCAACAGCATTTTAAATTCTGGCTGGTGATGAAGATCCAAATTTGTTAATGAGAAATTTTTGAAGCTTGAAAAGAGTTGGTCCAAAACTTATGGGAGGTAAGAAAAAGGTTATATTGGCTACATGGGATGTTTTTTTTCAACATAATCTATGTTTGACATCCATTTTAATGGTATCAATGGGAGCTTTATTACCAACACCAAAGTAAGCAGACTAAAGTCTAAATTAGACAGCTAAAAATTAGACAAAGATTAGATGGATAGGAAAAAAAAAAGTGTTCTCAATAATGTAAGGATGCCTTAAAAAACCAAAAGATGACAGTTGTATACTAAGTTGCATACTAGATGTAGATGCATCCCAAACACAGGTGCACGAAGTTTCTTCTCGGTTTTACAAAACACTGCTGAGTGGAATGGAGCTTCGCAGGATGTATATGAAGACAAAAAAAAAAAATCTTCTGTCATAAAAGGAAGAATACAAAGAAAATACCGAAATGATAGAGCAGGAAAAACATCTGTATTAACAATTTCAATAATCACAGCAGATGAATGTTAGTCATCTGCCAAGAATTGCCTAAAATGTAATGGTGCACTTAACTGAAAAGCTACCCAGCACTGTGACTTCTCTTGAAACTGCTACTTCGTGAGTCTTCCTGAACTCCCCACCTACTGAACCATTCATTAAATAATTACAGCAAATCAAAAATGTTATAGTAGAAGAGATATTCTTTTACTTGCAACAGAAAATTAATGAAAGCTGTACTGTATCAATATCAGGAAAGTAGTGCAGTGTTAAGACCAAATACAGGAAACAAAAATCAAATAGCATTAAAACAAGGTATCATTCCCCTACCACAGAACAGAAGAAGACTTACTTTACTTCTATTTGGTCTATTTTAAAGCAATAAATTTCCTATGATTTAATAAAGTTTCTTTCAATTCATTCAAATACAAATGAAGATAAAGCCAAGGCCATTGGTTTAAGAAGAACAAACAATGGCAAGATTTGTACTTCAGCATGTAGATGTCTGACTAAATTTGTACTCAAGACAAGTAAAGAACTGAGACTCACTGATTTAAGTAAACGAGAAAACTTACTTCACATTCAGAACTATTGCTTCCAACTTTTTAATTTCCACTGTCAAACTTATTTCCACCACACCAGATAACTAACTATACTGGATTAAATCACGATCATAATAAAAAATGGTTTTCAGTTATGTTACCTGTCGCTAGCACAGTTACTTGTTGCTGTCCAGTCATGTTGAGGGTTGACTAGGATGCCCCAAGAGAGGAACACAGAGGTTGGGGTGAGAGTGCCAACTACCAGCTGCAGAGGCTTTTGAGTCTTGGTCCGACCTACATAAGAAACATATAATTCCAATTACAAGTCAGTTTCTCTCTCCTGCATTATGTAGGGGGAAGTTTTTGCAGTTGAAAAATCAAGTAAATGAAGACCTACTTCTATATTTGAAGGGAAAGGTACAAAAGTTCTCTCTTTTTCAAAGTCACCATTTCTAATGTATGATTTAAAAAAGGGGGTAGAGACAGTGTGATCTGTTTGTTGGCTTCTTGTTGAGGCAAGTGAAACATCTTCAAGGAAGGGAGAATGCTCCTTCTCTGAAGCCAGCTGAGCATGAACAGAGGAAAGATGCGCAAAACAAAGTTGGCATAAAGGAAGGAATGATGCAGCCAGCAGGAGCACAGAATATGAGACTGCTTTAGAAAGCAGGTATCAGACACACAAGCCTTAAAAAGACTATTTTTTTAGGTCCCCTCTGGACTTGCACAGCATATCTTTCAATCTAGGAAGAAACTGCAAGACTTCGCTTCCAGACTTGCAGATCCAGGGTAAACCTAAAGAAATTCTCACTATTATTTGGTGGGTAGAAGGAAGACTCGTTTACTAAACTTTGTTTCAATTTTGTCTTACTATAAGTTTTAACTATTTCTTTTTTTTCAGCCTATGTTTCAGTTAAATCTAGTTTTTGAAAATGAACAGCAGGTGGTTTTGGTATGCTTAGTATAAGAATAAGCTATACGCCAATTAACTTTAAAGCTCTGGCTGTCTTGGACTGCATTACAGAATGTGTTACACAGAGTTCAGGACATTAGGAAGTCTTTGTGCATGTGTGAGAGAAATATCAACTTCTTGGCAGGAGTCTTAGTAACACTGCAATTATGTGCATAGATAACTCATACTTTCTACAGCATTCTTCATCAAGAGCAAAATAAAACCTACAAAAATTCATTTGTTTTTAACTGTCAGCAGATCTGAGTCAGTGTCAGTACATGGGGGAGTTTTTCTCTTTTAACCACCTACTACATTGAAAATGTTCAGCTTTTGCATGATACTTAACTTCAGCTTTGCTCTGAATGAAGTAGCACAACTCTCATACGTTGGAAGAACTTTCTTTAAATAAAGTTTAAAAGCTAATAGTTGGAAATGAAGAAATGATCTAGAGCAACTATTATGAACATGTAGTTTGTGGACTGCTACAAGCCTAAGCAGAACCTTTGGTGTTTGAAAGATGATTAATTAAAGGAAATTAATATATTCTTTACATCACACCACATACTTAAAAAATCAAAAGGCTCTGTATCTCCTCAAAATGTACAGGTGACCACAAATTCCCTAAAAGTTTATAAGCCACTGATCTAAAGGTTATATTTTTCACCGTTGTGAAACAGATTTGACTAACTTTCTTTTCATGCCTCTTGAAGCCTCAATGAAAGTCTGATTTGTACTTTAAACCAATGCATGCGTGTGCATTTAGAAATGTTAATCATGTGAGTTTTTACTTTATACTGATGATAAACGCGTTGCCACAAAAACCCTACAAACAAACCAACCCACTCTCTACCCATAAGACAAAGTATGACATGCTATGAAATATTGTTGAACATATGATACTTCCACAGGGCAAATTTCTGAATAATTTTCTTGTTTTCTGGACCAGTTCCTATAGTCTTTCTCCATTTTTAAAGAAAAACTTAAAACCAACAGCTTGGTCATTCACCAAACTATCTGGCAAATCTGCTATCTATAGGAAAATCCTTTTCTTGATCACCTTTTGAGAAAACATGATAAATATCTGAGTTTTAAGGAAAAGAAAAAACAGGCTCTCATATGACTTGAAAACATACTGGGTTTTGGGATGACCTATATATGATTTTGATTATGACTCTTATAATGCCATTAGTTTCCCGTTAGATACTGTAATGATTTATACACTGTGAAACCAGGACTTACCTCGGTGATCATCTATTTTGATCTATATGAATACAAACCATACAACTCCTCTGTATTAACTGCAGTTTGAACTAGCATCTCTTCTAGAAATGTAACCAGTCTTCATTTTTAAATTTAAAATTGCAGCAACTCAGACTCCACCACAATTCTTGGTAATTTAACTATTCTCACTACTAAAATACCTGCCATATACCTAGCTAGCATTAAACCAACAGCTATTCTTACACCTTTGCCTGCTGGACTGAAAAATCAATTATCTGAATCTTATTCCACAAATCAGTTTCTGCAGACTGTATATACAAAAATTAATAATGTCCAAATAGTTCATTGGGCATTTTTTTGGTTTTGTGTTTATATATATATATATATACACACACACACACACAGACACACGGCATCTGAGAGGTAAATCACTTTTCAAAATCTTTCCAGACATACTGTTTTACATCTGGCCAGGAGCAAAAAGAAATTAATCCCAAGCAGTTACCAGGAATTAGAAAAAGAATCCTATAAAGATCATAGAATCAGAACAGTTTGGGTTAGGAGGGATCTTTAAAGGTCATCTAGTTCAAGCCCCTTGCAATAAGCAGGGGTGTCTTCAACCAGATCAGGTTGCTCAGAGCCCTGTCCAACCTGACCTTGAATGTTTCCAGGGATGGGGCATCTACCACCTCTCTGGGCAACCTGTTCCCATGTTTCACCACCCTCGTCCTAAATAAATTTCTTCCATACATCTAGCATGAATCTACCCTCTTTTAGTTTAATACCATTACCCCTTGTCCTATCGCAACAGACCCTGCTAAAAAGTTTGTCTCAAATTATAAATATATACACATACACTATCAGTTTATTCTTTGCAATAGTCCAGTGATCCTGAGAGTCATCTCCATATTAAAGTAATGAACTAAAACCTAACAATATTAATGACATGAATAAGGTCATATAGAAAGTGTTTGGAACAGATGAGAATCGAATTCAGATTTCTGCTCTGCTATGTACAGTTTAAACAAGAAAAATCCCTCTTTCCTTAATTCCTTGCATCGGCAAACTTAGGACTTAATACTGATTTACAGATACACATGCGCGCACACACGTACGTGTGTCACCATTTTCCAACGAGAAACAAGGGTCATTAATATGTCCACGGATGAAGGAATCCTCAGTGGTAGTTTGGGAAGAGTGACTCAAAACACCAGATCATTGTATTTAAAAACTTTTACTTTTTTTTGCATGCACTTGTGACCTCTTTAAACATCAGAAATTAGTATTTTACATTTCAATTCTCATTTGTAAGAACTTTTCCAAGAACAATCTTTAGGTACTTCATGTTTTGAACACCACATGTGTGACTAATTACTGACTAGGAAATACTGTCCTATATTTTACCTTCCCACATGTGGAATTTGTGCATCCCAGTCAGACACATACAGTTACAAACATCTTTTCAGAGAAACCCAGTAAAAGATTCTGTCTTCCTTTAACTTTTAAGAAAGAGATGCAGGAATGGTAAAATACCTGAACAAGATTTCTTGTTATTTGAAACGCGTGCTGGTCTTACTGAAACCAAATACCGTGGCTCTGCATCTGTAAATAAAGAAAGCAGAAATTAGTATAGATGTGCTATTTATTTGAGAAAGGGGTTAACCGATAATTAATAAAAAGTCCAATATTCAGCGAATGCTTGACATGTTATCCAGTCTTCGTGATCTTCCAGCATGTTTGCTTTAAGGTTTATACACCAATCATTCAGAAATATTCTAGCCATTAGGAAAAATAATAAGTCCATGCACAAAATATGTGGCAATTCTTTTTGACTGGGACACAACAAAGAGGTGAACATGGCAGGACATACATGTAACGTTTCAATGCAAACATTACTTGGAAAGCGAAGGGGAATGAAAACCCAGATGAAGAGGAAGACACGATGGCAAAACAGAAAATTGAAACAGGTGAAGTAATAAGAGGGTAAAGCCTGAAGAGTACCATCAGAGATATCTACTCTCCTGACAGGAGCTGGAGGAATTTTTCCTACAATATTTTCTGTATTCCGTTTTAAGCTATACATCTTAGTTTTCCTGTTGTAAGCAGTTGCTCAGTAAAGAGCTCACCTTTTTCCAGAGACTTACTCTGAGATTTAACTATTAAGTACTTTCACAGATTTGAATACGTTTTATGAAAGTAAAGTTATTACTAACATTTAAGAGCAAGGGACTAATATTTCTGTAAAACCCACAAAGGGTGGTGACTTTCACTGGAATCTCTGAGTACTGTTCCAGTAGAAATAATGTTGCATGCAACAGGAGAACAACAGTTTAAGCGATTTTCTTATTCCTAAGTTCATCTCAGTGACAAATTGCATTTTCCAGACTTTGACATTCACATTTCTTTTAATTTTAACCCATATGCATTTTCTCCCAGGAAAAATAAAATTTTGCAAAATATTTTTTAAATCTTTACAGGAAAGAATCTCTCTTCATCTTACCCACAGTTCAGACTTTTTTGTGCCTCTTCCCAGAAAAGGTTCAACTACTTCAAAAAGCTAATAGAACGGATCATATTACATAGCCAAAAAAGAAAAAAAAAAAAAAGAAAAGAAAAGAAAAAAAAGAAAAGAAAAGAAAAGCCCTTCTTTTTTCAGGAATTTTGTCTTTTAATTCAATCTTACCTGAATGGCCTAAGTTTCTTCTAAAGTACACAAGAACTGCAGCCATTCTAAAGGATGCAGTCATTGCTAAATGGGTGTCAGCTGTGAACAAGCTTAGAAAACTTCTGGAAATACTAGTCTTCATAGGAAATAATGAAATGAAGCAAACCAAGTTTTACACAAACTCTAACACATTTCAGAGACATCTGATGCAGTTTGGATGACACAAGCACACATGGGAAGAGGCCACAAGTTCAGATACATTCATGTTTCTGGCAGCGAAAGGCAGATAACTTCACCCTGCAGCTTAAAATAATAAATGCTTTGATTAAAACAATGTTGAGATGGTGATTTTAGTTTGGGGAATTCATCTTCAGAAAGAAGTTTTTTCTTTGCTCTTGACATCAGATGTCAGAGATTTCTGCCCTTCTTAATTATTTAAAACTAGCTCTATTGTCACTG